CTCAGCTCCTTTTTGCAGAGTTTTCATGCTGCCATGAATTTTTTAAAATTTTTTATTCAAAAAGGATGTTGTAATGTCTTTCACTCACCATTTCCAGCTCTGGGCTTATAAGGTGACCAAAATCAACCAGTCGGTCCAGATCATCCTCCCAGAGGTTGGGTGCCAGCTCCTCCAGCATGGTTTCAATGGCAATCCTGGTGGTCTGCAGTGCAGCATCTCCTTGGTCAGCAAAGCTGCTGCAGGACTGGAACTTGGTGTCCAGAAGATATTTTCCATGGTTCCTGAGCAGGTCAAATAGCCCTTTGTGTTTCATGAGGGCCATCTAGGACAAAGAACAGAAGAGATAATTAAGGACAATTGTCCTATGTGCTGTTGGAAACTTGAGTGTTTCAGTAGATTGGACTGTAATTTCATATTATACAGTAGCAAAGAAACAGCTGCACACGTGGTGCACAGAGAAGTTCTGCTTCTGCAACCCGAAAAAATGTGGCTGCAGACACAATTCCTGGCTAGCCTGGCTGTGTTTGGTGTGTGTCCACCAGGCCTCTTGGGAATGTGACCTAGTGGTCTTGCACATGTTGTCAGCTGTGGTGAGTGAAGTTGTGTGCAAGAGACAGCGTAGAAATGCCCAGTAGGACTCTGGCAAAATGCCAGAGATGATGAGAGTGTGCAAGTTCCCTTGTTACTGGGAACCTCTGCCCATGCTGGGAGCTTGCTACGTGCTCCCACATCCCAGCAGACAGTTTGGAACAAACTTTGGCTATTTTTGTACCTGGAAGGAAACTCAAGACTAGATAGTGGCCACCCCCAGGACAACTGACATCTAATCCTTGGGGTTGCTTTTCAGGCAAGGGAAGGTGGGAATGCACTGCAGTGTAGAGCATATGAGGGTTTAGAAGTGATTTACTTGTTAGAAGTACATATTACCCCAACCTCCCCACTCAGGCATTAGCCCCCTCCTGCAGTGGGGAGTGGTGACCTGCAGGTTTCCCATTGCCTGCCAGAAACCTCCAGATATCCTCGGGACTTCCCACTGTGCAAGCACTGAAAAATGCTGCTGATGAACTCATCTCTAATACACTTTAATAGCTTGAACTCTGCTTTATCAAAAGTTTCCAAAGCTCTCCAGGCATGAAGCCATTTACTGCGCACTTTCCAGGTAATTTTAGGAGTAGAATTTGCCTCACGGGAGATTGATTGACCACACTTGACATACCCGGCGAGGTAGGTGCAAATGATCTTGCAGATTATTAATCCCCAGTATAATGAACCTCAGGTTCTCTGCCAAGAGTTCATTATAGAGTGCTATGGATCAGACTCAACAGGAAGGTACTCCTGTGTCTACACCTGGCTGTGAGTTTTGGAGTGTTCTCTGCAGGGTTAGCACTAGACATTGTGTGTGAGTGAATGTTCCAACAAGTTTAGCAGCTTTAAAAAGAATATATATAAACTCAAGGAGAGTTAAAAGCCCCTGTGCATCCTTGATGGCCCACCTTGGTTTCTCTGAGGTTGTTTATACAATGTCATGGATGCTGCTGGACATTTTACCAGAATTTTAATACTTAAAAGGGGCTTATAAGAAAGATGGGGACAGACTTTTTAGTAGGGCTTGTTGTGATATGACAAGGGGTGATGGTTTAAACTAAAAGAGGGTAGGTTCAGAGAGAATTTTTTTATAATGAGGATGGTGAAACACTGGAGCAGGTTTCCCAGAGAAGTGGTAGATGCCCCATCCCTGGAAATATTCAAGAATGTGCTGAATGGGGCTTTGAGCAACCTGATCTAGTGGAAGGCATCTTTGCTCATTGCAGGGGTGTTGGACTTCAAAGGTCCCTTCCACCCCAAACCTTTCCGTGATTTCAGTTTCGAAATCTGTGGCTGTGAGAGCTCATACCTTTAGGATTTCCCCGAGGCCGTTGGAGATGTGCCGCCGGGGGATGCTCTGGATGAAGGATCTGTCCAGGAAACTGGCTACAGGGGGGGTGTAGCCCCCGAGCTTGTTCTTGCACTGCAGGAAGTTCACCCCGTTCTTCGCCCCCACGCTGGCGTCGACGTAGGAGAGGAGGGTGGTGGGGACCCGAATGTAGGGGGTGCGTCTGCGGTAGAGCGACGCAGCCAGTCCCACGATGTCCAGGCAGACGCCCCCCCCGATGGCGATGATGGGCTCGGTCCGCCGGTCGATGCTGAAGTCCTGGACTTCCTGCAGGATGTTCAAGACCAGGTCCATGGATTTCGTTTCTTCGGTGGTGGGTAGGGCGAGGATTTTGTGCTGAACGTTGTTCTCTTCGAAGTATTCCCTGACTTTGGAGCCGTAAAGTTTGTCAACGACTTCGTCTATGACGATGAAGCGCCTCAGTTTCCTCGTGCTGCTGGCGGCGAGCTCCAGTTGCTGGGGGTCGGTGATGTGACCCCAGAGCAGAGTGGTGTTGGAGGGATCCAGAATGTTGTATGTTTCTACCACCTTGTAGCAGAAATAGATGGGAGCTTCAATCGTCCAGGAAATCCCACCTTCGGAGACACACTCACCTCTGGCAAGGGGCAGAAAACAAGGTTTGAAATCATTGTATTTTGCCCTTTGCATGTCTGAACTAGTCTAAGGATGTAGCTGGGAGGGGAGGAATGTGGACTCTCCTGCCCATGCACTGTGAAAGTGGGAGGCTCTGAGGGTTGGACACCCTCCTGGGTGTCAGGGCTCAGCAGCTTTAGCGCTGGAGAAGCTCTCCCAGGTCTTAGTGAACAGTCAAATGGCTGAATTCCTGCAGGGCATTGGAAAGATGCAGAGCAAGAAGGGCTGGAGCATGTTTTCCATGCTGGAAGTTGAAAACTCCATTAAAAAAAACAAAAACAAAAACAAAAAAAACCAGCTCAATCATTTTAGCTTCCAAAAAGGGAAAGGGGAAGAGAAGAGCAGGCCAAAATTTTCCAAAGTTTTTATAGAGGAAGCCTCCTCTGATGGTATATCTGGGTGACAGGAGTTGATTTCCTCCTGTCTGTCTGCACACGGCCACACATTTCCACACAAAACTGTGTTTCTAAAATGCTCCAGTTGAACCAGTGGATCTCTACCTCGAAACAGATATGTTAGAAACAGGAAGTACTCCCAGGGAGGGAAAGAAAATTATTTGAGGGTTGTGAAACATTTCCATGCTAGAGTTTTAAAGACAAATAAAAGGCAGCATGTAGTATCTATCTAAACCAGTGAAGAACAGAGCCCTACAACCAAGTTATTCCTTCTGTGGGACAGGGGAGGCAGAAGAAAAACAAGTTGGGAATTAGGAAAGGAAGAAAAAAAAAAGGGGGAAGAGAACAGCAAAATGTATTTTATACAAGACCATTTCTTAAGCTGCAGTTGGGTAAAAATGAAAGTTTCTGTGAGCCTTTTTTTTTGTTTTTTTGAGTGAGCAGCTGGCCCAGATAATCAGATTTCCCTAAGTGTACAATTTCTGTTCATATGCCTGAATTCACTTATATTTCTAAATAGATGCCTCTCTGCTTTTTTTACTAACTGTCTCTAAGTCTATCCTTAACCTTTGTAGCTGTTAAAGAAAACCAGTGAGGATTTACACCTTCCAGAAAATCCCTTCTGGGCTTTTAAAATGCAATATTACAAAAAGCATCATCATGTACATTTTAATGCACCAAATGTCTATCTTACAGCTGTACCTTAACTGCACGTGCATCCATCTCCGCTATGTGACCCTTCTAAGAGGCAGGATGTTTTGGAATGCCAGTTGGTGGAGTCAGCTTTAGGTACTGGATGGCACAACCAGTACCCATTGCAACCCCTCTGCTGTACAAAAACCATTGTGAATTTGAGGCTGAACATTCCCTTGTTGGAGTATAAGTCAGCTAAGAGCTTTTCTGGGTGTTCTTAGGCCCTAGGTTCATCCTGCTGGTGTCTGAGCTCCAGCAGACTGCCTTTGGGTCTGCTAAAATCCTGCTTTATCTGCTGCAACTCTGCCTGAGTGATGGTCATGCGTGGTTGCTGCCCACTGCCAGAGCTGGTGAAGGTTCCTCTGACCTCACTGAGAAAGTGGTTAGACTTGTGCCATTAAAATCTGAGCATGACAAATGCTAGAATACCTCTGATATGCAAAACAGAGCTGTATTAAGAAAGATCTTCCTCCCAAATGGGGGTCCATGTGCTCATGAAAAGGAGTATTCTGTAATTAAAGGATAATTAACTGGAGAGATGTAATACCAGCAAAGAGCTGTATGCATCCCTGGGGGAAATTTGTCTCTCTGCTCTGTCTGAAGCAGCATTAGGTGACTTCTGCAGTTTAAGAGATGTGGTAAGGGTTTTGCTCCTGTCAGGGACTATTTATTTTTTTCCATCCTGCCCATTTCATTTATCTGCAACCACGTCTATAAACTCATCTATCTCCCATGCCTGCGCATCAGCTTTTGCACATGCAGGTTGCAGGTGGCAATAAAAAGCCCAAATGCAGCACGCAGAAGTCCCTGCATAAGCTTTTCAGAAGTTTAAAGTAACTTCCCATCTACAAAAATGAAGGGTGTTGAAAAAATTCCCTCTGCCACGTGTCCAAGTTGTGCCAGGGAGAAGAGCAACTCCCTGTGCTGCCACACTGCAGATGTTTTGAGGGCCGCAGGGTCGTACGCGTAACGGGGCTTGGATGGGGCTCTGAGCAACCTGGTCTAGTGGAAGGTGTCCCTACCCGTGGCAGGGGGGGGTTAGACTCAATGACCTTTAAAGGTCCTTTCCAGCCTGAACTATTTTGTAATTCTGGAATGGCGGGTTTAAGCCGCAGCGGTGCACGAGGTGGTTTTTCCATCTGAGATACATCCCCACCGGGAAGACCACCAAGTTTGGCCAGCCAGTGCAGCCACCAGCGAACAACACGGGCTCCTATACTTACATTTTTGCCTCAGAGAGAACGATCCTGTCCTCACTGTTGGAAAAGGCTTCTCCTTTCTTGACGCGGTACCACGTGCTCTTGACTCGCACCAGCTGGAAGTCTGTCTGCCTCGGCTTCTGGGCCATGGTGGCTGGGACTGCTGAAGCACACACGTCTTCCGACACTGGCATGTCTCCAGAGGGTAAAATCTCCCTGTTCAGGGATCTCCCATCCCTGGGTGCCTCTGAAGTGCTTTTTAAAGGCTCCAGGTGACCAGGCGTTGGAAGGGGAGGTCTCGTTTCCACGGGAGAGACTAATTACAAAACTGAGATTATCTAATCTGGGATGCACGTTTGGGGTGGCAGAACGTTTGAAGACACGTGAGAGTACAAGGATGGGGTTGTATAATCAGCTGGTTTTATAATGCTTCAGAGGTACAGTAGGAGTGCATATATTAACTTCCAACATGATGCCCTACAGCAAATTTAAAGTTATGAAAGGCAGTTTGTGTGATTCTCCACATCGTTCAGGAATGTCCTTTGCTGAGCAGAGCCTCTGATCTGGCTGTAGCTCTGAGCTGCTCTTACGGGGTGAGACAGGAGCCGATACCAGCTGGGGTATCTGGGGATTGATACCAGCTGGTTAAACCTCTTTTGAGCTCACATTCCTGGGATTCTCTTGAATTGAGGAACAAAATGATATATACACATTTTGGCCTTTATGGTGGGTTTAAAAAAATGATCATAGAAAATTTATCTCCTGAGGGGCTGCTCAGAGCATGAGCTGAGTTTTGATCCCCACGTGTCTGAGGGATGCACAATCCACTTTTCCATACAATCTTCCAGCTGGAGCTTTTAGAGGGCCCTGGGCTCAGCCACACCAAATATTCCCTTGGTGTACAGTTCTGTGTGCTGAGCACAGGAAGATCTTACTTTGATTTCACCAGCAGAGCCTGAAGGCACAAACCCATCTTTGCCACCTTCTTGGCAATGTTTCTGAAAGCTGTCCTCGTTGAGAAACAAAGATCAAGAAAACCAAAACCAGATGTAAAAGCAGAGGCTGGAAAAAAAAATGGGTCTTTAGGAACCCATGGGACAAGACCACTTCATTTCTTTGAAGGCTAAATTGCAGCCAAACTCACTTAGGAACCTTCATCTGTCTCGAAATTACTGTTGGGAATGAGCTGGAAGAACAATCTCCAAAGCCACATAGCCCTGCTCCAGGAAGAGTCTAACTCCTGACTCTGGGTCTCACTTTTGGGTTCATCTCCAGATGACAAATAGCTTTGCCAAGAGGACACTCTTATCCCCATTTTACAGAAGAGGAAAATAGACTCACAGAAGTGAAACAACTTGCCCAAAGTCACCTTCAGAACTAGTGGATGTGGATTAGATGGCATACTAAAGCTCTTAGGCTGTTTACAAAATACTCATCTGACATTTAACTCCCAATCTAAACACAATTTGGATTGCTTTCTGCAGGAACTGCAATTCTAATGCAGCTTGTTGTTTACTAAATCATAAAATAGAATAATCTTAGGTATACCACGAGGTCTATCCTCTTCATCTTGTTTATTTGTTTTAATTAATAGAAATCCATTCAGCATTGGGATTTATTTTATTTACTTTTCTTTTACTCTTTCATCCTGTGCATTTACTTATTTTCCACTTATACTTCCATGTTCTATTCTGGGGACACTGAAATGTCTTCTGTTTCATTTCAGAAGTTGACAAATTAACTTTCCAAAGTCCATCTGCTTGTCAGCACCAATGACTTGTTCCTGTACCATCCATCCTGCAGAGGGGCAGCCAAGAGCCTTGTGTGAAGACCTGTTCCCCTCCCTTGAGCAGCCCTGGGTAATCTCTCCACAATCTTTGCAGGCACACTGAGTTGGTCCTTGACTAAATGAGCTCAGGGTGACACATCTCAGAGGTGAAAGAGGGGAGTCCATAATTCCTCATTAGCTTCAGTTTGCATTTCATCTGTGTGAAAAGGAGATGATTGACCTCGGCTCCATCACGTGCTATTTCATGACTTTGCTTTAATTCCTCACCAGCCTTTTCTGCCCCAGCTCTGCTGCACGCCAGTGAAGGCTTTTGGATACCCTGGATGCTCCCACTGATTCTTCCTAACGCCTCTCTTGGCCTGTGCAACGCTGGGACCCTTTCTGAGCGTGCAGGTCAACTGGTACCAAAGTGACACAACCTGGCCCAGCCCATGCAGGGACCTGGACCCCAGAGCAGGGGCTGCTCTGATGTTTGGCTGCACGGGGTAGCAGTGATCTTGTAGATAACCTGGGGTTCAGAGTCCTGGGACTTTTTTGGCCTCATACCTGGTTGTTTAGCTGGGAGACACGTCTGTGGCATGCAACGAGAAAAGTTATGAAACTGCCGATTATCTCCTAGAGAGCCAGCAGCTTCCCAAGGTCAGGATGTGAGCTTATGTAAACCGAAGGCATTAAAAGTCGGCTCTTTTGTTGTTCCTTTTCATGTCAGATGCTGTTGGATCTGTTGGATCTCACCTGCTGCCTGTGGTCTGGGTGGGACAGGCGGGCGCAGCTGGAGCGGGTGCAGCCCCCGCCCGGGGCGATCCTCCCTGCGCAGCCTCTCCCCAGGGCTGGGGCTCTGCCCGGCTGATCGCAGGGAAGTGCATCCCCTCGACGGACCCCTGAGCACCGACCTGCCGCTCTGCGGAGGCAGCAAACCCACCGCAGCACCCTCTGAAGCCGTGGGGACAAGAGGGAACATGCATAATCCTGCAGGTAAACTCCCTGAGTGGGGTGGGGAACTCCAGGAGAGATTGGGTGACAGGAGGGGACTCCGCGTGATGCCCCGGTCCGGGGTCCTCACCTTCCCCGTGGAGATGTGACCTGCAGGCTCTGTGGCTTGGCAGAGGGGAGCAGAGGACGGGTTTGTTTGGCAGAGGAGAGAGGCTGAGCAGGGGAGATGGGTCTGCAGGAACGTGGAACAGAGGGAGGAGGACGCTCCCATGAGAAAGAGATGGGGTGGAAAGGTGAACACCTTGGCAAGAGAGTTTTTGCTATGACTAATTTCTGATGGGTTGGGATGCTTTTTTTATAAATATTTTTTCTCCTTAATGGAGCCTGGGGAGATTAAGCTTTTCTACTTCTTCTTCTTCTTCTTTTTTTTTTTCTTTTTTTTTTTTTCCTAGCAGTAGGACCTGTAGACAATGTATCAGCTGATGCATATTTTCCTTGCTTTGCCCTGAAGTTCAGTCAGAGTTTAGCTCCCTGGTTCCTGCCACAGGTAGCAGCTTCCCCACTTCTCTCCCTCTTTCTCCTTGTGCTCGCACTCCACCCCTAAACCTGTCCCCAAGCCAGCACTGCTGGCTTTGTTGCAGGCTCTGGCACTGTGGATGCTGAGGCTGAGCTCTGCTTATGACATCCTGCAGTGTTTAATGGTCATGACTTGGGTTTGGCCCACACTGCCACCCCACCCTTGTCCCCCCCAACATGGGCCATGACCTGCCTGTGGCCCTGTGCATTGCCCTTCCTGGGCTTGTGGGTGGTGGGTTGGGAGCCACTGAGCAGCCCCAGATGTGCCACAACCACATTCCCTCTTCCATCTGCTACAGCTCTACCCATACAATGGGTGTGTCTCACAGCTGGGGTTAATGTGTTTGGGTCAAGCAGCAGCACAGGGTCTCCTCAGAGGCTGCAGTCCTGCATGCAGGTTCTGGTGGCCTCAGGAAACAGCTCAAGCAGTGAATGGTGGTTTCTATAATCAGAATCTCCTGATAAAATGCCACAGCTGAGGTGTAATTACACACTAGACAAAGTGGTGAGTGCTGTGATAGGCTGTTGTCAATGCCTGAGGTGCCTTGGTGAATATGATGGCTGGAACTGTTTGGGATGATTTTATCAGACTGGATTTCCAAGTGTTTAGCACCGACCAGCTCCTGCCAAAGTGCCTGGCACTGGAGCACCGAGCTGCCTTGGCAGCGAAGTGTTCAGGTGGATCAGGTTCAGTGCTCTGCCCTGGCTGGGAAGGGGAGCTCTTCTGGAAGTCACTGCTGGGGCTGCAAAACAGATCTGGAGGCTGGAAGGTGAAATGAGGATAACCCAAAAATGGGAACCAAGGATCTGGCCCTACGTCTTTGAATGTGGCACCTTTGCTTTGTTTTTGCCAAATCCAGACTCTCTTCTTGTGTGCTTGTCTCCAAACCTCCTCCTGGGCAGCCCCTTGCAAATTGTAAAGGGATCTCCTCTTTTCCCTACCCAAACAGTGCCATCTAAGAACAAGCTGCAGGGTTGTTTAATTTAATTTCTGGAGCAGCAGGTCCCTCCATGGCACTGTCTGCCTGCTCAGGGGACACTGATGTCCCACACATACAGTCTAGTTTAGTACTTATTATAGTCCAACAGTTTTGCTGGGGTTGTGCAAAACTGTGTACTAAACGAATCACTTTTCCTGGAGTAACAAAAAAAAGAAAAAAAAAAAAAAAAGCAGTTACATAAAGTTTAGTGCTCAGAGCCTTGGTCTGGGCAGCCAGCCCTGAGCTCTGCTCTGACTTGTCCGCTGCTTGCATAAATGAAGGCAATTCTGACCTCTGCTGTTGGCCCAAGGCATCACCAGGCTGCAAAAAATGCAGCACTCCCTGGAAAGATTGTGTAATCTTGGACGGAGAGCTGCTCTTGGCATGCCCTGCCATCCCCAGCAGCACCTCTTGGCACTTTCGGTTGGTGTTACAACACAGGTTACAAAACAGCAGGAGGTGAGTCTTTTTTGCAGCTGTGTGACAGGCAACCCTTGGCTGTTACTCATCCAGAAGAGTAACATGAAGATTATTAAAATCCGACACGGATTATAAACATGTTTTTTTCCCCCTAAATTAACAAAAACCTCAGAGTGCTTGTCAGTGGGAATAAGATCCCGACCTCCAGCATTCTCCAGTGGTACAGCACGAGCATGTGGATGCTCCCTCGTGTGGTTGTGGAAATGCTGTGAAAGGAGTGTGTGTCCTCTTCGCTCAGCATGCAGCTGGACCGAGGGCAGCAACTGACATGGCTTGGGGAGGGGGTGGTTATTCCTGCACTTGCAATTAATTATAAAACTGCTGAATGAGATATAAACTGCCCCTTTGCCACCTGATGGCAAGAGATTGGGATGAGATGCAAATCATCACAGAATAACAGAACGAGTTGGTTTGGAAAGGATCTTAAAGTTTATTCTGGATCCTACCCCTGCCATGGGCAGGGATACCTTCCACTAGACCAGGTTTCTCCAAGCCCTGTCCAACCTGGCCTTGAACACCTCCAGGGATGGGCCATTCACAGTTTCTCTGGGCAACCTGTGCCGGGGCCTCACCACTCTCTGTAGAATTTCTTCCTAATATCTAATCTTAACCTGCACTCTGTCAGTTTAAAGTAATTGTTCCTTGTTCTGTCACTACATGCCTTCTAAATAGTCTCTCCATCTTCCTTGAAGGCTCTCTTGAGGTACTGGAAGGCTGCAGATGTAAAGCACATATTCTTTTCACTCACTCCACTTGGTTCTCTGCAGCTCTTCTGTCGCAGGGAATAAAATCCTGCCAGGGGCAATCTGCTCCACCCCAGTTACACTCACAGCTTATTGCCCTGTGTTTCTGACACCTGGTCTTGCAGATGTTTTCATAACCCAGCGTGTGCTCTTACCCTTGAGGAGTGGGGGAGTTTCTATGAGCTGTGTCTCTCTCTCTGGGGCCATGGTTGTACTGCTGCCAGGAGGGTTTTCTGGGGTCTCAGAGCAAGTTTAGTGCCATGGGCAGCATTGCTTAGGCCCCATGGCAGGGTGATCTACATCCTGGAGGTGTTTCTGCAGCCTTTGAAACACTAATATGTTGTTGTGTTGTGCCTGTTTTCTTTTTACCTGAATAATCAGCTTTTGGCGGGGTCTGGCTCATGAAAAGGTACCGGGAGTTCTGCCATGTGGTGCTGGTGGATTCAAGCATATTAAGTTTTGTTCCCCAAAAAGCAGTTGAGTTCAGGATGGTGCATCACCACCCAAACTGTTGAGGCAGGCTGAAGGCAGGAGAAGGGCTAGGAGGTTGTGCTCCTGCCTGATTGCTACATGAACCTACTTAAAATCATTAGTTGAAGACTACCTTTGATTTTGTGCCATCATGGATCTGGCATAATAGCTTTTATCAGAGAATGGTTTGGGTTGGAAGGGACCTTAAAGATCCTCTAGTTCCAAGGCCCTGCCATGGGCAGGGACACCTTCCACTAGAGCAGTGTTTGGGTGTTTGTCACTTTGGCTACACATTTTATTTTAGGCATGAGCATCATGGGTTGCTCAGCAGCCTCTGTGGCACAGACACATATCAGGGACACTTGTGCATCCCATCAACACAGGATGGAGATCCTCCTTTTCACAAAGCTACATCCAGTGCCTGCATCTCCTGGCTTAGAGGATCTGCCTGGTTTGGCAAGAGCAGTTTGGGAAAAGCTCTACTTTCTCCAAGGACAAAGCTACCCACAGGAGCGGGTTTTGTTTAGTGTTTGATGTTTGTCTCAGGGCTTCAAAGGCACAATTCGTGTTTTTAAAACATTCTTATCCTTGATCAGCTGTGCTGATCCCCCAAAAAGGGAGAATGCATGCAACAAAAGTCTATTAGAAATGTACTATTTTTTCATTTTGAAAAGGTTTCCATGATGGTTTTCACAGTAATTCAAAAACCTGTATTTTCTATTAAAAAAAAGTGCACTTTTTTTTTATTTTTGTACTTTAAATTCCTCTTCCACTGATTTGAGCGATCGCAAAATCTTTATTCTTCCTTTTATTTTCCATTTCAGAAACCCCTGCTGGACACATCGCTGAGAACCTTCTCAAAGCCAAAGAAATAGCCCTCAATGACTCTCGTGTACCTGAGCAGCTCAGGAATTACTTACAAAAAGCTCTTGATGTTGCTCTTGGACTAGACCCTTACCTGGATGCGATGGCAACTTTTAAGAGGTACCGACTCTCCTTTGTAACCTTGTGCTTCTCTCTGTGAGTGTGTGAGTCTGTTCTCAGATTTTCTGTCCGGAACATGCCATAAACATGGGAGGAAGAACAATGAGAGTTAACTGCACCCAAATATATAGCAAAGTGTGCATGGATGTGTGTGTGTCTGTGTGCACCTACGGCCTTAAGGAGAGGAGATGAGAACAAGAAGTCCTAACTCTTAAATTTTGGGATATATTCTCCCAGCTGTTGGCTATGGCAATGTCTTTGCTGGACCATATCCTGGGGAACACCAGCACACCAGCTTCCATGCAGTGCCTGCTGGAAGGCTGAAAGAGTGAGCCCCTCAATCAAACTGGTGCTGGGATAAATAAAGAATAAGGAAAACCTGAACCTCTGGATCCGCCCTCTAATAACAGCCTTTATATGCAGCTTTTATCTCCAAGCACTCAACAAACATTAATTAATCTGCTAACTAAATTACTCTGGTAACTAAACTAATTAATTAAACTAATTTAAGGTATCATTAATTCAGAAGTCCAACTGATACCCTCATTATTCTTTTTTGAGCTACAGTATATTACCTAGCCATGTGGGGTCTGCTAAACAATTCCCATTTATCAGTGCGCATTTTGATATGTGGAAAAAGCCAGTTCTGCCTAAAATTGACAATGTGTAAACTGTTCCAGGCTGTGGATTATGGGAAGGCTGAGCGTTCGTTCTGTTGCTGAAATAATAGCTGATAGTTGTTTGACTTACACTTGCTGTAGGATAATAGCTATACATTATCTTATTAAAGTTGTTAAAGCATTTGTGAGGGGCAGAAAAGAGGTTATATGAAATGTTCTACTCTTTAAGTCTTGGATTATCTGAGTGTGGCTGACACGGGTTATGAATTCTTTCTCATTTTACTGAGGAGCAGGGAGGGGGAAGCTGGAGAAAAAAAAAAAAAGCTGAAATGGCTCTAAATTCTGACCTGCAGAATGATCACCATCCATTTCTGGTGGTTCCTCTCTTTAGATGGAGTAATCTAACCTGTCTGGAGGCTATGTACTTCTTCCAGTCATCTGTTGCCTTCCCTATGTAATAGGAAGCATCTCACTTCATCCAGAGACATTGTCAGAGGCCTGGCTTCTGTAAAATAGCCTCTGGAGACACCCTGTTTTCTCAGCTGTTTGTGTGGAAAACCGTGTTTTCCCTATCCTGCAAAACAACTTAGATTTTACATCTTTTCCCCTATTCTGCAGTGAAACTTTTTTTTTTGGCTGAAACAAAAGTAATCATTGCAGAACTGAACAAAACCTGGCCAGGGTAACTAGAGTAATTTACTCCAAACCAGCAGATAGAGACCTGTCTAGGACTGGCTGGAAATGAGAAGCATCTGGGGTTGAACAGTGGGGAATTCTTTCCTTTGGTCCCATAGCCCCTTCCTCCCAAATCCCTATGGCTGGGGTGGCTGCCAGCACTGAAATGGGCTTATTGCCAAGCCAGGTCCTCTTGGGACTGGAATTTAGGATATCTGCAGTGCTTCTGGGCTAATTTTTCATGGCCACGCACAGCTGGAGCTTTTCCAGGCATTCCCTTTTATTTGCTGCTTTTTATGCAGGATTCTCAGATTTCAGTTGTTACTATATTTTTGAAAGTTATTTCTTTTTCCAGAAAAACTTCACCTGGCCACGTCCCAGGGGATGCTGAAGGAGCTGGAAGCAGAGTTAGGCTACAGGAAGGACGTGCCTCTGGCTCACTGAATGGCAAGTTGGTCAACCAGATTGGTGTAAAGGCTATCAGTGACATTGAAGCTATAATTCTTTACTTTTTCTTGAGTGAGGAGAGGTTAAATGCCACGGGAATGCTCAGAAAATATGGAAAATTGCTAAAAAAAATAAAGATTTGAGCCTCTTGTAGGCTTTGATCTTCCTTTGGCAGAAGTTTTCCCAGTCCCATCCCTCCTGTGCCCTTGTACTCTTGCACATGTGCCCACACACGCACTTGTGAGTGTTTTAATTCGCAGTGCCAGCCCCATCTAGTAGTGAGCAGCAAAAAAATCATTACTCTTTTTGGAGGGGAAAGAAAGGGAAAAATCATTTTGGTTGGGTTTGGAGGTGTCTGTTAGGGGTTTATGTGCTTTTTGTGGCGGAGGTGGCCTGTGGCCAAGCACTTGTACCTCTACAAGTAGCAACACCCAGGCTCGTATCCCCATATAAAGCCTATTACCCTGAATCTATTCCCAGATTCATTCTTCCCAGATGTTCCCATCTTTGGAGTAATATATCATCCCAGTGAAGTACTCTTATAATGTATTACACTAATACATTGTTCGAAGGACACCACTGATGATAAATTTCTTAAATGATGGTGCTGTCTGGGGATAATGACTCTAAGAGCAAATGCAAGGTAATGTAGTGATTTTTTTTTTTTCTTTTAAACTGGATTCCAGAAAGAATATGGAGCCATCTCACAGCCATTTTCATATGGGGGGAATGTTAAAATATGCAATATTTCAAGCACTATTTAACAAGCGCTTGAACAATAGCAGCATTAATGATAAAGGTTCTACATTTAAAACAAGCCCCTTTATTCTGTTGTCTTTTAGCTGCATTTTAGATGAAATTTTGTCAGGTTCTGTTGTTAAACCCTTACTTGAGAGTGTTTTAAGATTAGTTTGGTTTTTTTTCTTTTTTTTTCATTTTTAATGATCACTTAAAAGGCGCATCTAATTTTCATTGCGAACAGGGTACCGTCTTTCCCATGATTTTATTTTTAATCTTTCATTCTTGTCTTTCCACAGGCCAAATTTTTAGGATGTTGGTTCATATGATCAGAGCCAGGAAGATTTTATTAATTGGCAAGCTTAAAGGTTACAGTATCCTTGCTGTTGCAGAGGAATTGCCAGACGATGGCAAAATTTTTGCGTGTGCAGAAGCGCCGTATCAGGGAGTGAACAGCCAGGAAGCGTTTGATTATTCTTCGGATGGCAAAAAGATAAGCATGCGAGTGGGACCAGTGGCAGACACCTTGGAGGTAAAGTCAGTTTGGAAGGGGAGTTTGGGAACTCTTGTGCAGAGCACATTAAAGCACATTTCGGGCGGGTTCTGTTCCCTGCACACAAAAAGCTGGATGGTGGCCCTGGTTTGCTTGCAAATACGTGAGCACATGGTTGCACTGGGATTACTTCTTATTCATGGTGTGGGATGGGACAGCTCTATCATACAGGATAGTTTTTTTTTCTTTTTAACAAAAATCCTGCAGCTTTTTGATCAGAGGAATCACAAGCTCTCCATGGAGGTCGATAGGCTTCAAAGGCAGCTTTACTTGATGTCGATTGTTTGGGATCTCAAATTCCAAATACAACAAACAGGTAGAGTGTATCTGTACTCTGCTGAGCCAGCTCTTGAGAAAGACAGCTTGCTCCCAATGTTCACAGGAATCAGGCAAGTCTTGGAGAAGTTTCTAATTCAGCCACAACCTCTCATTATTTTCCTCCACTGCAAACTCTGTGGGAAATTAAACCCCAATTTCTCACTTCCAGAGCAATGTGATGAGCTTAACACAAATAAGGCATTAGCTGTATTTGTTTCATTCTGACTAGTGACTTTGTCCCAAGACAGAGAAAAGCTTATGATTGCCAACAACTCACATTTAATTCCCATTTGTGAGATCTCCAGGACATTGCTGCAGGTCCAGCATGTGATCAGGTGATGCCCATGCCAGGTTCATTAAATAGCCTTTCTATTACTAATACAAACCAATTTGATCTGATTCTATTTTCAATCTGGATGTGTCAGTGTGAGCTTGATTGTAACTTTATTTGCATTAACAGGTACCATATTTATTTCTAAAATGAAATGACCAGGAGCTTTCTGGCCTTTGGCTTTCATGACCCCCAAGTTTGATAAGAAAGAAACAAAGAGCTTTGCCAAGTGTATGAATAAACGAAATGTTACAGATCACCTGCAATGTGCAGCATTTAAAATCCCAGCTCCCCACAGTGAGTGTGAAATTAATTGAATTGCTGTTGCTCTCTAGTGCCCATTCTGTGCAACTGACTTACTGTGACTGAATTAAAATATCTAGAGGCAGGCAGAGTACATGCTGTGTAGAGATTAAAGCAGGGAGCAAAGACATGAAAATTAAATCCTTAAAACAGAATGTTGCAATTGATTTTATATCCTCCAATTGCAACATGAAGGCACATCCTGACCCTGGTTCTGCAGGTGCTCAGGACTTCAAATACCTCTCAGAGCTGTTGGGAACAGAGGTGCTTGTGTTTGGCAGGAGAGAGATCCCAGCATGGGGACACCTCTCTGTGCAGGATTTCTGCACTGGGCTCTGAACTTTTTTTTGCTCAGCGTGGCAGCTGTTTTGTCACTGGTATCAGGACAATCAGGACTGTCCTACAGGTTTAACCTACAATGGCTGTAAATGCTGAAGCAATGAATGTGGTGGTCTCTCTGGTGCCTTGGCATTCTGGGCTTCTCAAGGTTTGCCTGGTTGGAGTTGGGCGGACACGTGGGAACACACCTGAATGTGCAGAAGAGGCTCAGGCTGTGAGCAGTGTGCGGCCTTTTCCCTCCCAGATGACCTGTTTAGGTGGAGACACAGCAGGCTTCCTCTCCTGCCCTGTGGACATGCTGAAAGGCAGGAGGACAAGGCAGTCACAGGTGGGAGGTGGATGAGGGATGGCACAGCTGAGCTCTCACAGCTCAGCTTCGTGGAGGAGTTGGAGAACAGCTTTTCTGTCCCCCATGGTATGCAGGGAGGCTGGTCTAGAGCAGAGCTGGCTAATGTTTGTTGGAGAGCACCATGAGAGTCTGAAGAGCTGGAACAAGCTCTGGCAAGGGGATTGTCTTTGTTGCCTGTGGTGTCTGCAGCCCGAGGTTTCATTCTTGTCCCTTTGGAGAAATTAGAGGGCAGAGGTGGTCACCCACCACTTGCTCTTTGGAGGTGTGTGATGCAGCTTTCTTGCTGTGGTGATGATGGCTGAGTTTTGCTTCCAATCTGAGTGCAACAGGGCAGGATCTCTGCTTATCTGCTGCTCCTCAAATTTTCACAGTGTTAAGGCAGCACATCAGTGCATAGCAGCATCAGTGCATAGACTCTCTGAAGATGAAGATGAGAACATCTCTCTTGATGTTATCCCACAGCATCAGAGGACTCAGGAGTCAGCCAGTTCCCCTGTGTCCTGTCCCAAGTCACAGCCAGCTGCAAAATATCTGAGATTTTGACCTGTCAAGGGATGCTAAGTATCAGGAGCCACAGAGCTCAAGTAGACAGTGAGGTTGATTTGGCTCTTGAGAGCACAGTGATAAAACCCCACCTTTCCCACATGTGAGGGATAGATACTGCTGAGCTAGGTGAGGTCTCCCCCAAAGCATGTGTCTCACATACACGATGGCACAGGCCACTGTGCCAAATGACCTCAACAATTTTTACATAATATTTTGAAATGTGAACTGAGGGGAAGCCTTTCTTTGTGTTCAGTCTCAGGTTCTGGTGCTCTTAGTGGGAATTAGCTACCTTTTCAGTGTGTGCTGGGCCAGCTTTAAAAACATTTCCCAGTGAGGTCCTTAAGTCTAAACTCTGTTGTGCTGTGCTTGGATAACGTGCCTTGCCCTGCATCCGCAGCCAGCAAGAGCCTGATCCTGCACAAAGAGCTTCCTTCAATCCCCAGTGGACTTTTCCTTGAACAATGGCTGCAGGATTGAATTTGGACGGAATGCAAACTACCAGGGAATTATCCCCATCCATGATTTTGATCCTTCCATTTTAAAATTGAAAATGCTCCGCAAAAAAATAACGCCGTGTTTCCAGCCGATTCTGCTGATTGCAGGGCGTTGTGTAAAGCATGTCGGGGTTTGCTTTCTTCTTTTTTCCCCCTCCCTTTAGCAGACAGGATAGGTGAAGAGGTTGAGCTGCAGATCTCATTTCTCCTGTTTTGCTGCTTGTGAAGTCTGCCAACAGAATCCACCTTGACAAAGTCAAGGACTCTGCGTTTAATGTTGAACTGAGTGAATAAATTATGCATGAAATTGTGTCGGAGTCTCTAGTGTGCTCTAGAATTGCTCCTTTTGATATGAAAGGTTAATTCAGAAAGGAGTCCAAAATAGCTGGAAATTGTGGGGATAAGTGGATAGTATTCACTGTTGTGAGCTGTTATTACTAGAAATTGCATTCCCTCTCTGGCTTCCCCAGAGATTTCGCCTTGCCGGTGAATATAAACTGTACTCAATAGAATAGCATTTAGGAGTAACAAGAGTGTATGTCCACATACAGTAAAATATTCTAATGGTGTTTTAAAAGGAAGCTGTACTTTTTCATGTATTCTCTGTGCCCTAAGGATGGATTGCTATTACATTTAGGTCAAGAACAAGGCATAGGGAAGGTAATAAGTTTTGAGTACATCTTTATTACAAATATGCTGACTGTATGATCCATATCAAAGGAACTGGGCAGTCATTTTTTTTCTGATTGAGTTTGTATGTGCCTTATGTTGTCTCTGAGAAGGACTCCAATCAGGTTTTCTCTGAGCTTTGGCAGAAGATCCATTCATGTTTTTATTCAGGATGTCCTCTGCCTGGTCTTTTGCTTTATCCATCAGCAGTGCTGCTGTGCCCTTTCTCGTGGTCTCTTTTGCTGTATCTCTTCTATGGAATGCAGTGTTACACTCTTTTTAATCCAAAAGGAAGTTAATGACTCACTGTAATCAAAAGTATTAATTTTAGCCAAGTTTGCTCTGAATTAAAACTCTCATTGCCATCTGTTACCATCTAAGATGACTCTGTAGCAAGGAGCAGGGATTGCACTGTAAACACTCAGGAAATTAGTTTCAGCAGGATATTTTGCAGGCAGATTATTTCCTTCTGGATCTCAGCTTTCCTCGCAGTTGGAGTCATCTGGGTTCTGCTGCTCTCCAAGCAAAGGACAATGGAATCTCCAGCTTGCTGTGAGGTCCCAGGCAGGGCCTGGCCCAGACTGTGCTGGGAGGGCAAGGGTTGTCAATCTGAAGCCCCCTCATCCATATGGGGCAGCAGGAACCTGTCCTTTTCATCACAGCACCCATCTTTCCAGTGCCTGGCTCCGCAGTCAGAGCTACGAGTAGAACAGCTTTTTACCTTTCTGGCTGTCTGGGTTCAGCAGCAGATGCTGGCAGTGAGGAAACCCTCTCCAGTGTGGGGCCCTGGCCACAGTTACCACCTGTCTGAGTGACCCCTGCTCTGCTAGCCAAGGAGCTCCAGGAAACGGAGGACTTTCTCAATCTTGTGGCCGTTTTCCTCCTGCTCTAGAGGCAAAGCTGGTTCAAGGAATTTCATGGATTCCTCTTAGAGTCCTGGAACTGTTTCCAGCTAAATATGGAAAACTCAGCAGCAATTTTGAAGCTGTGGAAACAAGAAGCTCAAATGATGGCAGGTCCCAGCACAAACTCAGTTCCCTACAGGTGTCAGATACTGGATATCCAGAAGAAATGAAAGGTGCCCAAGTGACCTTTGTGGCTGGTCATGAAGGACTTGATGAACTGGCAGAAGAGAAATGCCTTGGAAACCATGGCCTTGCACACCCAGGCAGGGCAAGGACAAGGCAGACGTGTGGTGGATACATATCCAACCCAGGCACCCTCCAGGGATGAAAGCTGTGGAGTTAAAAGGTGGTTTATCTGTATCAGAAGACAGATAAGAAGGAGATAAGCTGTCAGCAGGTAGGCAGTATGGAAGGAGGGTTGAAATGAGAGGTCCAGCTAATATCCAAAGAGCTACACAACTCCATATGGACCTAATGAAGCCAATGCATAAAAGTGAGATTCTTTTTCATTAGGGAGCCATACCACGGAGCAGTGGTAACATATGTTCAGCGATGGCCACATCTGCTTCTGAATGTCTGCCCCCCACCTCCTCCACCCAGGAAGGTTACAAGTCAGAAAGTAGTGATAAGTCACGATAATTACTCGAGTTGGGCTTTGGCTCTTCTCCCTGGGGAACCAGACCTCTAATCTCTCTTCCTGATGGGCTCCTTGACCCAGCTTTCGTCTTCTGACCCTTCCTGAAGTATCTACATTGGCCAGACTGGCTGAGGTGCAACCTGACAGAAGGTGGTCTTCCACAGTAGCAAAAATGTTCCTGCTGCTTTCCCCCAGTATGGCTCAAGAGGGAACTAGGGCAAAATTTTCTAACTGGTCGTGAAAAGAAAAGATGAATCCCAGGAAACCAGATGTCCCAGTTTCTGCTACATTTATTATAAACCAGCATATATGTGGCCTTAAGGTCTTCTTTTATTATAGTGTAGCATCAAAAGGTGTCCTAAATGTGAACTCATGAATGCTTTTGGCAGAGTTTCTGTGCTATCAAGTACCTGCAGTTAAATGTGACTATTCGAGCTTAATTCCCTCACCACTAACAAGCTCACAATGACACCAGTTTGCAAGACAGAAGAATTTAGAGCTTCGATGATCAACTTCCCACTATTTTCTTGTCTAAACCACACACTCCCCACCTCAGAAAGGCTCCTGAAATCTCTGTTTGGGAACCATCAGCCTCACTCCCCAGAACAAACCAGTCTTCACATTCTGTTGCCGTTTGTTGCTGATGCTTCTGCTGGTGCGTCTCAGGGGATCGCTCATCACTCGCTGTGCACGATGTCTCCAAACACAAAAGCGAAATCTGGATGCAAAAAGTACCGTTAAAAGTTGTGATGGAAACAGTGAGTTCTGGAAAACATAATTGTTTCTCTTTTCACTTGAAATGCCAAGACATGAAAGCATTTCTGCTTGCCGAGATAGGTGGATGAGCTGTTGTTTCATTGCAACGCACACAGATGCAGTTAAATAGTCCCAGATGGAATCTGAAATATTCCATAGCAGCCTCTTGGGCAGCGAGTGCATTAACTGCCACAGGAGAAGGCTGTAAAGGCTCCCATCTGGTCATCCATCAACACTTTTATACATTATCATCAGCAGCCTGCTTGGAGGGAAGGTGTGCCACATTTCTGAAAATCCAATTAGATGATAGCAGCCAGTTCTCTTTTATCCTCTCTGTTGCTGAGCCATCCAAAGCATTTTTTTCAGATTAAAGAAACATCATTTTCCTTCATGGGGTCTGTGCTGCTTTATCTCTATCATGACCTGTTCTTTTATGTGCTTTATAATTCTATTATTAATTAGGATTTCAACCCTTTTCCTGCTACTGAAGTGGGACTCACTAGTTTGCAATTCCCAGATCTGCCTTATGCCTTTTTTTTTTCCTGGAGTGATATAATTGCCACTCTTCAATTTGTTGATAGTTGCTCTTTTGAGAAGAGATAAGTTACTGCGGCCTGTCAGTGGCAGGGTTTGATGCCAGTCCTCTCCCTTACCCTGATGGATCAAGTTGCTTTGACTCAAGGTATGCAGATGTTTCTGTTGTGACTCTCAACACCTCAAGCTGGGATGAGACATCCTCTTTTATATCCTGACTTTCTTTGAGAAGTTCAGAGATTTGGTGCTGTAGAATTGTTTGCAAAGCGTGGAAAACTCCCAAGATCTCCAGAAGTAATCCTAGCAGTGTTACCTTAAAAGAAAAAATTTCCCTCTGGTTTGGGCTTTATATAAAGGATATTTTAATGGCAAGACTTTAAACTTTCAGGTAAATAATTAGTGTTTTCTCCAACATAATTTTTTTTTCAGGCATTACATGCTGAGGACGAGCACTTTGATATAGTCTTTATTGATGCTGATCAAAGGGATGCTGTTCACTACTACAGCTTTGTCATGGATAACCACTTGCTGAGAATGGATGCAGTGATCTGTGTAGAGAATACACTCATGAAAGGACAAGTCTACCTGGAGAATGTATCAGATGAAAATGTACTAGCTGTCAGAAAATTAAATTCAGTGATTAATTCAGATCCTCGTGTTGAGCAGGTTAGTGCAATGCCATTGGTTAAGGTGCCCGTGGTGCTGTATCTATGGATTTTGCAAAGCACTCTTCAAAATGTTTCTTTTGTTGGTGCCATTATGCAGAGGACCTAAAATGAACTCAGATTTTATTGTCATTCACCTCACTTGAGCTCTAGGTCTGAGTTTCTATATGCAGGGACAGTCCCTACTCTGCCTACATCTTAGAGAGTGTTAAAGGCAAGATAAAAGGGGAGCACTTAAGAGTGAATAATCAGCTCTACAGCACAACCAAGGAACCACCACTCTGCTTTAAAGGCTCTGGGGGCTGTAGGGCACCACCAGCGCAACAGGAGTCAACAAAGTCCTACTCTAGCAGGGAAGAAAAAAAAAAAAAGAAATAATAGAATGCACAAATAATATACTGTGGTTTCAGAGAAAATAAAAAAGGTATCCTTCAGGGTTTTAAAAGCAGGTGTGAATGGTGCTACCCCAGGACAGCAGCTCACCCTCATGCCATGGCTGCACCAGGGTGGCAGAGGGGCTGCTGTGGTGGTGGGGAAACACCTGGCATTTGTGGAGGCAATGAGTTCAAAAGTGAGCAAATAGAAATGCCTGACATATTTGTGTTGGAAGGAAGTTCACGTAAGAATAAGAGTAGAAGTGCTGTGGCCTGAGGGCTGTCCTTCATATCAGTGGAATTTGGGTGACAGAAAACCAAGCACAAAGCAGCTGAGAACTGTGTATACATTATATTTGCAGGTAATTTTGCCTGTGCAGAGTGGACTGAGCATCGTTCGAAGGATCCCTGTACCTCCAGATGCAGTGATTGAATCCAAGGTGGGTATTTCCTCTCTGTGAGTACTTCTAGGAAACTTTTGACTCTGCTGAGGACAAGGACAACATAATTTTCACGAGTTTGGTGTCAAGAAGCCAAACACATAGTGCTGTTCATCATGGACTTACCACCTTAGGGCTTGGCATTTTTCAGCCTCACTTGTCAAGGTTACACTAAATACTGATTCCTTGCGAAGTCTTTTGGATCAGCTGGTCCTGTGATGGATCTCCAAAGTGACTGTCATGGCTGCTCCCTAGGTGTCTGTGCCTGTTGCTCTCCCATCCTTCCCATGCAGGGGAGTGTAGATGAAGCTGGGACCCAGCTATAATGAACACATACAGTATTTCTGAAGCAGCTCTTTTTTTGCCCAAAGGCAGCACATGATGCCCTCTTATGCTCTCTGAGCTGAATATTTTCATGGCCTTGGATTTTTCTTGTCCTATGGAAAAGACAGGGATTTTATCTTTCTCCATTTTATGTAGTGGGCATCACCCAGCTGTAATGAAATTCCCATCTGGAATCATAATGGCCTAACTCAGTAAATCCAGACTCAAACATCGTGATTGTTTTGCAGTTTCTGAGTGCTCCCAAAGCTACACCCACTGGTAATTCCTGGCATTTCAAACTCAGTATGTTAAACATCTTGTATTTTCCATTTTGATTCCAGTTAGGGGGAAATGATGTATGGCAGCTGATCAGATGACAGCTTGGTTTAAGTTATTGGCTGATATCTTTATTTGCGCACCAGCCTTGTGAAGATATTTTGATTGCACTCTGCTTGAGCAAAATCCTGACTTTGGAATCTTGTCCTGTGTCTTCCTGGAGCCAGCTGAGCCTGAGGCAGGATTGGGCCCTGGGGGTAAAATAACTGGAAGACTTAATCAGTCAACTTCTAAGGCAATGTACCTGATCCATCTCCCTGGGAAGCCAGGCTGGGAAATGCCATACCCTACTGTCATGAAGTGGAGCGGTCAGAGCATCTCCCCAAAGCACAGCCCTTCTGCTCCGTTGTCTGGCATCTAATGCTCCTTTTGAGACTAATGTTGGCTTGAATTAGTCGTATGTTTTGTATTAATTAACGGGCCAAGAAGACATGGATCCCTTTTCGCGCTCCCGCCCCGTTCTCCCAGGGAAAGTCCTTCACAGCTCTCACCTCGTGAGCTCTGCCCCTTATTGTGCAATGTGTGTATGTTTTGTTTCAGGAAGAGGTGGTGAGGGATGACGTCTTCTGGGGCTACAACAGGCGGCGCATCCTGGACCGGCTGCGTTTGGATGGCAAGGTGGCCTATGTGACCGGCGGGGGGCAGGGCATCGGCAGAGCCTTTGCCCACGCGCTGGGGGAGGCCGGGGCCAAAGTGGCCGTCGTGGATCTGGTCCTTGCCAAGGCAGAGGCAGTGGTGAGTGAGCTCAGCCTCAAAGGTAAGCGCGGGATGGACCTGTCGTGAGCGCTGACACGGGCGGCTTTCCTTCTTCAAACCTGACCTGCTCTCTGCAGCTCTGGGGGGGAATAGGTTAGAGCAGAAAATGTTCACGCCGTGGTCACGAAGCTTCTCCTGCCCTGTTGGCGTTGTCTCAGCTGTCATCACTGATGACACCATCTGCAAGAGTTATTTATCAATGCAAACTTAACTAAGGGCAAAGGGACCCAAATAAAATTCCTTGCCAAGGATGCCCAAAGTGAGCCGTGACTGACAGGGACAGAGAAGGCTCACCCCTTGCAAGTGAGGTCTGTATAACCAGCACTGGAAAAATAGAGATGGTGTTTCTCAGAGTAAATCATGCAGCACTTCAGGCTTCACGAGGATGAACGGCAGATATGGCCTACAAACTCACACACCCCTTTCCTGGCACCTCTTCCATACCTGATGTCTGGACCATGAGCCAAAACACCAAAACAAGGTAGATGTGTTGTCAGTCTGAATCTCTCATTACACCCTCAAATTGCAGCAAAGTAATTTTTGAAACCCTCTTTTGAACATACTTGCAAGGTCAGATATAGGAACAAAATATTAATAGATGTAATAACTAAAATCCCCAAGAAGAGGTAACATCCTCTACAAGCCACTCCTGTTGTAAAAACAGAAAATGTAACATAAAATTGAATTTCCCCCTATAGTCGTGATAAACTGCAATTGTAAAGGGGAAAAAGAAAACTGGAAATATAATTTTAATGATGAAAGAAAGGAAGTATTACTCATTTTATAATTCCTTTTGTGAGATTGTACCTGACCCTCCTTCAAAGTTTAGTGCTTCATTGTCTCTAAAGGTAGAGCTTTAGCCAGGAAATTTTCACATTCCCATTTTGGATAAAATCAGCAGTATTTGTTTCCATTCTGACTTCCATTACAAACCATATTGTCCATCAAAGCCTGCCCCTGCAGTTGTATTTGTATCACCCAGCCTCAGGAAGGGCGAGGAATGGTGCATTTCTAGTTTTGATACCATCCTGAGCCTCCCCAGGGAACTTCTAAAACAAAATGTCCCTGTCTTCACTATCCCAGCTCTGGTAAGCAGGAGACACTTTACACCGAGCATCAGTGCAGTGGTTAAAGCTTTGATCCGGAATAACGAGCTAGAATAGAAAGTGTTCAGTTCCTATTACAAATTCTTGAGTCATCCAGTCCCCCCCCTCCTGAAGCCTGTCATTCCCTTATGCACCAAAGCCATATGGCCTTGGCACAAAGTAGCTTTGCCCTCCACGTTAACTTGCCTTTTGGACATTTTTTTCCCCGTGAGATCCTGCATATCAAGCAGAGCTATTCAGATAGAAATGGGCTACTTGACAGAGCCATGAGACTTTGGATGCCAACAGCCTATTGGAAAGCTAACTTATCTCCAGGGCATTTTTCAGTAAGAGTTTGATCATCCATCCTTCAGTGGCTGCCCTACATCTCTGCTCCTTCAGTGGTGGGTTGCAAGCCTGGAGGAGGCGTGTGTGGGGGGGTGTTCCAAAATGCAGTCGGAGAGGTCACGAGGCATAGCAAATATTATTGCAGTCTAAAGTAAAGAAAATCTCGCTTCTCACTCTTTACACATCTTTATCCTTTGAGGTCAAATATTATCTATCAGCTTGACCAGTGCAGCTGGTCAGGGCACATCTATTCCATCTCATGACGGTTTTTGAGGTTTCAAATTTATTGTCGTTCCCTGTTGGAAAAAAACCCAAACTTTGTAATGTTTTTGTGAAAGGGAATTATAACCAAACGCCCGTTTTTGGAAAGGATCTGAAAAGGTCAGGTTTTCAATCTCTTTCTCTCCAGAGGTAACTAGAGAGTCTAGCCTGGACCTCAGAAGCTTTCCCTTTAAAACTTTTGTTGAAATCAATATATTTCCATGAAACATTTTGGCTTCAAAGAGGTAACATGCTCTGTTGGAAATAAATTTTGACAAAAAGGTTCAGCCAGCTTTACTCTGAAAATATTCACATGAGTAAATTGAAGCAATTGTAATATTAATACATATTTTTCCTGCTATAATAAGGACAAAGGAGCTGTGACTTTTTTTTTTCCCTTCTAGGGTTGTAGAAATCTCTAAATCAAAGTTGGAAACACAGTGCCCCAAGTCATTCCCATACTGATACTTTTTCAAAACATTTTGCTTAGATTGCTTAGAGCTGTTCTGCTTCTTATACCAAGGAGTCCTTTACTGCCTTTTGGGATGGTGCCATCATTTCATGATGAGTTTTAAACATCAGAACCTCTGTGATCTCAGTTTTAGCTTTGTTAGACAGCTCGGGTGTATGTCCCTTGGCTACAGGGGTCTTTGTTTTGAGATCCTGTGTGAATACCTTTTTCAACAGTCGCTAATGGAACCTGACAGAAGAACAAAAAATGATGAAACATAACCAAAAAATCCTAAGGGTTACCTTCCACTACACACACCTCTGTCTTCAGGGGGAATCGCTGCCTCTACCCTAAGGGAAGAATTAGTCTGATGGGACTTTTAAAATGTGCATTTTCACTGTAAACTATGCAAATGCCTTGTGCAGTGTCACTCCTGATCTTCCTGCCTGTATGCAACGTGTTACTTCCATTTATACCGGGAGGCCAGAGACAAGTCCTGTGGCAGGGGGACGTGTCCATGTCCCCTGCAGAAGGGCACCTCGGGTGGATTTGACATATTGGTGTCTCTCCAACATGTACAACTGGGCTCCTCTCCTGCCCCTCTCATCACAAAACTGCCTCCACAAGCATCACAAAACTAAACTAAGGGCTGTTGAGAGGCTCTGGCTCGGTCACCCATGCAGCAACATGGGCGTGTGTTCAGTTTCTTCTCTCTGGTTGTGTCTGTAGAGTTGAAGCTATTCTTCCACAGTTTATTTATTATTTTTAACAGGTTGTTTGGGGAGACGGTGGAGAGAGAGAAAGTGGGTTTTGTTTCCCCCTCTCTCTGAGTGCAGGGACATCAGCTGAATTGATTAAGGTCAAATGCGGGACTCTGGTTTGAAGTGAGTGTGTCTTCACTGCTTCTTCGCTAGACACTCACACGTGGCACCTTTTGTCTTGTTTTTATGAACTATCTTATAAGATGAAGCTGTAAATGGGGTGAGAGTTGGAGGGCAGGTGAAGAGTCTCTCTGTTACCATTAGTAACACGCTTGCACCCGTTTTGTCTGTAAATTGAGAAAGAAAGATTGCAGCAACTCCCTGCACGTTACAGGTCTTGATAACAATTAGGAGGAGCAACGGGGGCTGTCTGGCTATTCTTATTCTTTCAGCATATTTAGCATAAAACCTGCGATAAAATAAGAGGTCTTATTTTGTGGCAGAACGTGCATTCATTTTTTTAGTTGGCTGTATTATTTCTCTGCCATGGAAATCAAGAGGGCTGTGTCATTGCTGAAGGGGACAGGAGCTCCCATGACCCAGGGTGGGGAGCACCCCAGAGCAGCATCACCTCGGGAACTGCACTCTGGCAGGCTCCTGAAGGCACTGGAGATGAGGAGGAGCGTTTCCATCCAAGAGCCTCTTTCCCGACATTTTCTCCAAACACCACTCGGCAATCCCTGCTTTGCCTTGCCTTTATGGAACCCTCCATCTCAAGCTTCGTTTTGGGAGAGTCTCCTGCCCTCCTAGAATAGGCTTAAGCCTTCTTTTAAATGCTTTATCAGAATGATCCTGAAGAGGGAAAAATGGGGAACAATTTTTCCATTTATATAGAATTAAAAAGATCTTGCTTTAACAGCTGTAACTTCTTACCTGCGCACTCTTTGCTTGCAGATTACTAATCCAGGGTCCAACCCCACCCAGTGGCTGCCTCCCTCCTGAGTTAAGACCCATTTCACCACTGCCCTTACTGGGGTAGCCTTGTTTGGCTTTCTGGATGGGTATAATCCCAGTCACATCAGGTGCCTCAGCAGGCTGCTTATGGTGTTTAATAACAAGGGTATATAAAGCTGATTTTTATAATAAAATAAATGAAGTTATTTATGGATCAGCACTGGTGCAAAATTCAACAGCTGGATGTTTTGAGGAAAAAATCACTATGGCATGTTTAAAATATGGTAAATCTCTTAACTTCTGACTGCACTACTCTGGCAGTGTGATTTGCAATAGATAAGGCCAGGCAATGTGACTACCATATCTGTGCACCTGCAGATATTTCCAGTTAGCTCTCCCACCTAAAAGTGGTTTGGTTTTGTCTGAGGCTTCCAGCCATCTGGATGCTGTAGTTCATCCAGAGAGCACTTTTGGGACAAATTAATTTGATTTCTGGAGCGTCTCAGGGGGACGTGGCATAAAAAAAAAAAAAAAAAAAAAAAGCATCTGTAGAGCTGCTGATGGATGGGAAAGCTGCAGTTGAGGGTTTGGACAGAAGATGGTGCAGTGTTCCAAGCTTCGTCCTGCTGGAGTGGTAGCCTTCGCTCTCACACCTGGGCTTTAGGTTGGTCTCCAGCAGGCAAACCTCTCACCAGTCAGAAACTTTGTAATAACAGTATTGCAGTAACAAACTCACGCTTTGCTACAAGCTGTGCAGCAGTGAATGAAGGTGCAATATAAGCAATACATTTATGTATAAAAAATACAGCTATATATAAAGTATCTCTAAATACGCATTGATAAATAATCACAAAATAGATATATTTTTTCTTCCTTCCTGTACTAACTCCGTTGCTCTTACGTTAACGCAGGGATTAAAAGCCTTGCGCTGGCAGTGGATGTGAGCAAGCCTGAGGATGTGCAGAGGATGGTGGATGCAATCGTGGCTCGCTGGGGCACGGTTCACATCGCGTGCAACAACGCAGGAATCAATCTGAACTCTGCAAGTGAGGAGACTTCCCTGGAGGAATGGGACAAAACTTTCAGTGTTAATTTGCGAGGATTATTTTTGTGCTGTCAAGTAAGTGTGAAATGCCGCGCTGATTTGTTTTGCAAATGGGTAATAATTTTCTAAGTACTTACTTTATCAAGGCTTAATAACACTTTATTACTAGTTATCCTAATAAAATTGGTCCTAGTTTGGGTGGAGTTAAGGAAAGACTTGCAGATTTCAGTGACAGATTTTGGTCAATGTTTTGAAAAGCAGGTGGTACTTACTGGCTGCCCAAACCCAGGCATTTGAGAATGGCCAAAATTTTTTGAAGGGTCATTATTTGAGGCATCCTGAAATCAAAAAGCTTTGTGGGGGCAGTCCCAAAATTAGTGACTATTTTGAAAAAATACTGCCAAGAGTGAAGAGGTGCGAAATGGCAAAGGGATTTTTCCTGCATCAGCCATTTTTATACCAAGTTTTTATATCAAGTGCTTAAAAAAAAAAAAAAAGTGTTAGCACATCAACTCTTCTGAAAAGTGAAGACTAATTTATTATCATGTCATTATTAGCACAATCACAGAAAGGGTCACTGGTCTTTCCTTTAATTTCTGTCACAGGCTGCAGGCCGCATTATGCTGAATCAAGGATATGGGAAGATAATTAACACAGCATCTATGGCAAGTTTAATAGGTGAGTGATGAGAGCTAACAGTTGTGCTTCAGAATCCATATTTTAATTACTACTGATGCTATTTGAATCAATTAAACCTGTATTGGGAAGGAGTAAATCACTGACATTTCATATTAGAGGAAATGTACTACAAAATTTTTATTGATATCATTTTTCAACATTTATCTGTCCTCGATGTTTTAGAGCACTTATTACTTTTTATAGAAGAGGTGGAGTCACCTTCTCTGACTCCATTGCATGGATGGCATGGGAGAGGTGCTGGTATCCTCCCCATTGCTCCAGGCAAACTCCTTGCCATGGAGGAAGCTGAGCCCCCAAGGTGTTTAAAAACCACCCAAAAGATTTTGGGCCAGTTTTTGCCCCGGTACCCACGGGGTTTTATAACATTGCTGCTACCAACAGGTGCCTGCACCAACACTGCTGAATCAGCAGTGTCATCAAAAGCGCCAATAAACCATTGTAACATATGGAATGAAATCCCTACTGCTGAGCTAATCTGGAAGGCAGTTACATGCTGGTGAGCTGAAGCCCATGTAACAAAAATTGATCAATTACACAAATTAAGCATAGCCCTTTAGGAATTTATTTTATTGGTCTGGACATCTGTTGCAGTGTTGTCCAAATCCAAAAATCAAATGGTGTGCCTTGGGTTGCCAAGTTAGGCAAGAAAATCTAGTAGCTATAAAAGTACAACTGAAAACCCCTGTATTAATATCATGTCCATCTGCTGAATGTTACATAAGTATGCAGTCTTTTTATTTTCCTTTGGAATAACGTTTATTTTTACTGTGCCCAGTTTGACATTCTATGACATTCTGCTCAGTTTATTGCACAGTAACTTTAAATGTTTCTTCAAAAATCCATTTACAATGTTGTTGTTAATATTTTTTCAAGTGTCTTTACCAGCTGTTTTACTTTTACCTAAACACAGGCACCATCCCTCTGCCCCAGCTTTGTCAAGTTACAAAATCTCACAAAGAAAGGCAGTTTTTAAAAGAATGTAAGGCTTTAAATTTCAAATACACCAGGCTTTCCTGCTTTGCACTGTGCAGTCGGGCTCTGGTCTGTGCTTGGCTGTCACCATCCACATCACTATCACCAAGCAAAATTTCCTGGGAGGTATTCCACCCTGGAGAAAGTTAGGAAGCTCTGGGAATTGGCACCAAACAGGGATCTGCTGGTTTGGCACACTGCTCCCAGTCTCACTGCAGCCCAGCAATGGTCTCCACTGCTTAAGGAGAGGTGTTTTCCAACTTTTCCATCGGGCCTTGGCACAGCTCTGCTGAGCTGGGAGGTGATGCCATTCCACCACTGCATCCATCCCAGCCCAGCTTTGGGGCTGCACCTCCTTGGCTGGTGAGCCAAGCCCAGAGATTCACCTGGGGATCATGTTTGAGGGAGTGCTGCTCTGGAACAGGAATGAATGTTGGAAAGCAGCCCTGAGAGCAGCCTGGAAGGGTCGTCCCAAGATGCATTTAAATGTCAGTAAAAGTTAGTGTGTGCTAGGCCAAAAGTTAAGAGATGAAGAGATGTGTTTACCTTCTGAACCTGTTTGAATCTTGGCATTGAAAAAATCTAGTAGTTATGAAACTACAACTGAAAACCACGATGTTCATATCATGTCCATCTGCTGAATGTTAAATAAATATGTTGGTTGGTTGGTTATTTAAGTATGTTGGCCAACTGGCATAGTATGAAATGTTTCTAGAAATAGTTAGGGGATATTTTTTTTGTTGTTGTTGTAGGTTGAGTCCTTCCTCAGAGATACAGGAAAATGAGGAGACACTTAGCAGGATAGGGAGGTTTTTGTTTGTGATTTTTTTCCAGATTCACTGCTCAGAATCAGTTTTAATTAATTGAAGATAAGCTGCATACATTTTGCATATGTGCATTTTGATTCTGGTACTTCACTGGAATTATTCCAGACGTACGCTCCAGCAGCGGCGGCTCGGCTGCTGCGGCTCGGCGCTTCACACAGGTGTAACTCAGAGCTGTAATTTTTACAGTGAATATCTTTAGTGGTAAGTGGTCTGCTCTGCTCTGCTCTGTCTGTGTGCACCTCTCATTAGCATTACGTGGCTGCTTCAAGGTCAGCCTGGGAGCCTGATGGACTGAACGAGGTGGCAAAACCGGAGTGTCAGGTTGTTGTGGTTTACACCCCACAGCCCTTTGCTTGCTCCCCCACGGGGATGGGGGAGATAATCTGGGAAAAGAGGTACAACCTGTGGATTGAGATAAAGATGGTCTATTGGGACAGAGAAGGAAGGGAAAATAATAATAAGGATAAAACAATACATGAAACAGGTGATGCACAATGCAGTTTCTCACTGACCAATGCCCAGTCAGTCTCCCGAGCCAACTCTCCCTAGTTTTATTGTTCAGCATGATGCCACATGATTTGGAATATCCCTCTGGCCAGCTGGAGTCAGTCATCCTGGCTGTGTCCCGTCCCAGCTTCTTGTACCTGCCCCAACCTCCTCGCTGGCAGGGTAGCACAAAAACTGAGAAGGCCTTGATTTAGAGCAATAACTAAACCATGAGTGTATTATCAACATTATTCCCACCCTAAATCCAAAAATCTGTAGCAGCTACTGGGAAGAAGATTGACTCTATCCCAGCCCAAACCAGGACACAGGTGTTTAAAACGTAATGCAGCTGATGCTGGCAGAATTTTATCTGCTTCCTGCTATCATCTCAGTCTTGAACAGGAGTGAGTGTCCTTGCTTCCCAGAAGCCCCTTAACAATTCACTTTTTTTTGGTGACACTGCCGGAGGCATAGCTTCACTCACAAGCTCTAGCCCTGTTTTGCATGAGTTTGAAGGGTTGCAGATTTGCTCTTCTCTCTATAAGAGACCACTGTAGGTAAGGGGAGAGGAGGTGGTGAGGAGTGCTGAGCTGTAGAAAGCCCATCCAGTACCAGAGCCTTGCAGCACCTGTTGGCTTATTCTGTAGCTTTTCCAATAGAGAGGGGCCAAGTGTCTCAGGAGGTAACTCCTGGAATCACCTTGCTTAGATGTTCTTATAAAGACAAAAGCATTTACAAGGAAGGACTCTCGAAAATCCTGTATCGGCACACACCCCAGATCAGAAGCTGATTCTCATAGCTTGCAGCAACTTGTTCTCACCCACATGCAGAGCTGGTGCCAGAACTCCCATCCTTTTAGCAAACACCAAATGATTTATCACAGAGAGACATGTTTGGAAAGTTTAGCAAAGAACTGCTTTTGGGAGGTTACAAGGTTAACTACCGAAGTTGTGTTTAACTTGGAGCTGGTGTGTGGCAATTAATCAAGAAATTACATTCCACATCTTTTTGAGAGCCCCCACATCGTGCTGCGTTGTGGGGCAACAGGCACACACAGAGGGCAAAGCAGTTCTGCTGGTCAAAATGCAAAGTATTTCATACTGAACAAAAAAGAATAAATGTTGGCAGAGGAGGGCCATGGTGTGTAATGCTCTTTGTAGCGAGGAAAAGGCCTCTGAATTCCGAGCAAACCTTCAGCACATGCAGAAAAAGAAGAGAAATACTAATTATTGCTCCCATCACGTGTGTGCTTTAAATCTATTCCCAAACATCTATGTTCAAGGCAAAGGTCCTTGTTCACATGCTCAGTAATTTGCAGCAGGGCTTTAGGCTCTTTCAGAGTTCAGATAACTCAGTCATCATCTTCTTTTCACCCTTTACATTGACATATGCAAACCCAGTAGTTTCAGTCAATAAAAGCAGTAGTGGGTGTGTTGGGATGCCATGGGTGGGAGTGATCTAGAGCTGATGCATCAACTTAATTTATTAAGTCCAATCTAATGCCATCTACCAGTGTTGCTTGTGTGTTTTTATGCTGTGAGTTGGGGTTTGCCTGCTGAACCTTACACAATCACAGTGATTCCCTTTCTCCCAGGGTTCAGTGTTATCCAGCCCCACAGGCTGGAATTGCCTGCCTTTGTGACTACTGATTTTTAGCCCTGATTTTCCCCACTGTCCCTCCATGACAGTCAGCAACTCAGTGACACTCAGCACTGATATGGAGCTAATTATGGATTGGTGCTTTGCACTGGATTTGTTTAATGAAGTCCTAATGGCAGCCAGAAAAGTCCAAGGAGAGACACTTTGTGAGTGTAAATCCCAACAGCTGGGCTGACTTGGTTTGACTCCCATGGGTTTAAAGCACTTTACACCCACTGGGGATTTGTCCTTAAGTAGCTTTCACGGAGCTGGTGAGGGGCAGAGCCAGCGAGCACACAGCACTAACAACCTTGAACATTGTAATTAGCAAGCCGATCATTTTCTGTCTCTGACTGACATGTGACATCTCTGAAACATTCTCAAAAGCTTCAGATTTTGAAAGTGGTGGGTGTTCTGAATTTTTGGGATGCACCTGTGATCACATCCACACAAACACCAGTTAGATAATGTGATGTATTTGCTTCAGACTATGGATAATTTAAAAATTAGGGAGAATAATTTGTTCTGAGAAGCTACATATAATATGTTATATAAAATCTATTATGCACTTATATCATATAATGTCATATCAAACAATTTGATGTTGCATTACATTATATCATACCACACAATGTACTATATATATTATAAATAATAATACATATTTTAATAGAAAAACACATAATATATTATTAATTATATAATATATTAGAATTATACTCTATTAGTATTATAGTGCACAAGTATATAAACTTATATATGTGTATAACATATGAATGTGCATGTGTATGGTTATTTACCTTTCTTGGTAGCAGCCAAGTATTGCATATCTATGTTTAATACACTGGGTTTGGCTTTGCCCAAATATGCGACCTTTTAAATTTCTTCATTTATTTTCATTTTTGCCGTTTTTTTTCCCCAGTAGCCAAGCTACTGAGGCACAAAAGGTGGGTGGCAAAATACATATTTAGAGTTTTGCGTTGTGAGTGGCCAAATTCTTACTCTTCCCTAACCTACCATCGGGGAAAATGCCGAATAGTTTAATCTCAGTGCAGGGAATTGTCCGTGCAGTGCCTGAACTGTCTTAATTTGGGCAGAATAAATAATTTTCTCTTTCTGAACCCCTTGCAGTCCCGCACCCACAGAAGCAGTTGGCTTACAACGTCTCCAAAGCCGGGGTCGTAAAACTAACACAGACGTTGGGAACCGAGTGGGTTGACAGAGGAGTAAAAGTCAACTGCATTTCCCCGTAAGTAAAACATGGTCTCAATTCTGAAACAACAAAGGGAATGAAATGTTCCACAAAGCTCATTTGAACACTATCTCAGCAAATAAAGTTTCTAATTAGCAGGTGGATTGCATCCCTTTTTATGTTGTCTTTTTCCTTAACAAAGGTTTAAATACTTAGAACCAAGCCTGCTCGGTTGCTGTGTATACTCAGGGATTTAAGGAGAGGTTTTAGCGTTTGATAATAGGTTTTCCAATAATGTGAAGGGTAGTTTTTAGCATTTCTCTTCTACATGAAATATTTCCTTAGTCTGTCCAAGCCTTCTGTGGTTAAAGAAAAGGTTTTTGACACTAATAGACAATACTTCTTTCCCCTTTTTGCTTGAGGCAAATATATAGGCGCTTTAAAAGCTACATTGTATTGCTGTAACTGAGCTGCTGTTCAGCTCTGATGACCACAGGAGGCCAGGTGTAGTTTTGTAAATATATATATATTTATTACAAATTAAATTTTCCTTATTTTAGAGACTTCAAGCTCTCTGTTTTATGGTATTTATTCCCAAAGTTAAGTTTTCTTACTAGATATACTTCGTCTCTTCCTGTTTCTCACACACATACCCAGCCCAGTCTTTTTATTAAACAATTAGCAGTGCATGATAGTGCTGAGCAGAAACCCAAGTGGGTAGCGTTAATTGGAAGCGGTCAAATTCCGTAGACCATTGAAGTCAATCAGAGTAAGTAAGAAGGGCAGGATTTTAACCCAGGAGTTAAATTGTAATAATGAAGATAATAATGTACATCAAATTAGGGAAAACAAATTACATATTTTAATCCACAAAGTGGAGTGAAAAAAAAAATAAAAAAAATCACAGAGCTCGATGGCAAGTGCCTGTTTTTACTGTTGGTCTGCTCTCCCCTCACTTGTGCTAGCTGTCTGCCTTATGATTATTTATTACTAATTATACCAGTGGCTCCAGCCATCACTCCATGTGATCCACAGATTCTTTCAACATCATCTTAGTTCCTAATGGGATTTTCCCCATGCCAGTGCTAGCAGCACTGTTATAGTGTTCCCACAACTAGCACTAGTGAATTTACACTGGCTTTCGGGAGCCGAGGGAGATGAAGGGAATTAGGGAAGCTCAGCAGGACCTGGCAGGAATTGTGTCTGAAAACACACAGGTAATCTGTACCAACAGAAGTGGGAGCCACATTCACAGCAATTACAGATGAGAAGGCTCTTAGAGGGGGAATTACCCATTTCAAGGGGGCTTACATAAATTAAAAAAAATAGACACCAAATTGTCAAAATGCCTTGTTTTGTACAATTTGGGATCATACACTCATACTTGAAGAAGTTATGTCCCCGGAGGCAGTTGTGAGAGCACGGAGAAGAAATAGTCACATTTCCACTTTTCAGGCCAAAACAGGGTTGCATTTTGATCATCCCTCCCTATCCTAAACCCTAGCTCTGAGCTCAAAATCCTACAACAGGAAGGGGTGTTTCTTTGTGGAGGAGTAGCCAGGAAGGGCACACAGAGGACAAATGTTTTGCTGACTTTGAGGTCCCTTGTTCTGGACAGAGCAGTTTCCCCTAATGTAGCTTGAAACCCAGACTGATCCACTCCAGAGCTGGACAGTTTTCCTCCTGGCAATTCAAAGCTCTGGCTGAGCCCCTCATGACAGGGCTGTCCTGGAGAACTCTGAGCAGCGTTCAGAGGAAGGAGCCTGTAGTGGTTTGTAGAGCTCAGATACCTCATCACCATAAGCAAGAGCCACATATGCTTCAGAGTGAATAACTGCTCATGTTTACCTTTCCACCCCTGGAGATGTGAAACTGCATTTTAGTGCAGATTTGGACCCACTCTCAGAACTGTTGATCCCACCAGGATCACTGTCTCTTGACGTGACTCACCAAGGCACAGGGACATCTTCAACCCACTTGATCTGAGTGCCCAAGGCTGGGCAGGAGCCACAGAGCAACAGCACGTGTGTCAATGCCATTGTAGTTGGAACGTCTTCCAAAATCACAACTCTTGCTGAACATGGATGTCCAACCTAGCACACAGTCATCTTATAATGGCAGAGGATTTTGAGGAGTGTGAGGAGCACAGATGTAGATATAGGTCATGATGGTACTTCAAGATCATCACTGGATAAGTAAAATATCTGTGTCCTTAAGTACTTTGCCTCTCCCACTCATGGTTGCATTAATGCTTCAAGGCACTCTGAGCATGCCTCTGTCTGAAGGTCCAAATGCTCCAGTCTGGCCTTAGACATTATTTCACCATGCAAACCTTCTGGCCTTTTCCCCCTCTTCCTATCTGGTCACTTTTTATCAACTTAATTTCTTAATGAGTGCATAAAACTTATGCAGAGCAATGCATAAAAGTTAGCAATGCATAAAACGTTATGGCAGAGTTCTTAGGATGATTTATTGCATTTATGAAATAGAAGATTCAGGCTTCTCTTGCTGGCCAAGCAAGCCTGGGGAGAAGGTGGCTGAGAACTCCCTGGATGTTTTGGCTGACTTATCCTGTTGCTATCATGGAAACTGTGCTCAGCCCTTCTGCCCATCCCATGCCATCGCCTGTAACCTGCTGAACAGCTGATGCCAACAAAATTAACAAGGTGCTGGAGTCTTTCTGGAAGGAGGGTTAGGCTGCAGAGGGGAGCTGGCTGTGAATAGGGACCTTCACAGAGCACTGACTGGTGGCTGATGCTCAGCTGTCCTCATGTGTTTCAGTCTCCCAGCACATGTGAAGTGTGTTGTGTGTGATGGAGGAGGGGACCTTGGAGGGTGTTTGTTTTTTGGCAAGTGCAGCATTGGAACACTTCATTTTTCAGCCATTACACTGAATCAGTGTCTATTTTTTGTGGTTAATTGCTGCTTCTTTCTTGATTTGCAAGATATAAAATGCTATAATGTGATGACCATCCAGATGGGCAGCTGGAAGTTGATCTTGAGGTCAACTTTCAGCCAGGCCAGCTTGTTGGAGACCCAGTGAAACTCAGCAGCTCTGAGGGGATGAACCATGTTTCCCACTGATGGGCTGCAGGGATTTAGGTTTTAGGTGCCATGGGCAAAGGGGCTTTGTGTGCCCTGTGTCCTGCCCTGCTCCTTTGGGGCAGCAGGAAGGCAGCTGCACGGTGCTGTAGCAGGCTTGTAGTGTGGTGGGGATGAGCAGTCAGAGAGCAGGTAGGGCAGGATCACTGCAGGTTTTGGGTACACCTCATTGGGGGGTAAGGAGAGGCAGAGCTGGCAGGAGAAGGAGCACCCATCATCACCTGAAGGCATCCCAATTAAGCAGCGTTACTATCCCCATTAAGCAGCAGTCGTTGCTGGTAAGTATCTTTGGACTTAAATCTTAATTCCTTGGGAGATGTCCCAATTAAGTGGATCTTGTGATTAAACACTTCCTGATTAAGTGGAGTGTACTTAACTCATTCAAATTAATAACTCATCTGAAAGAAATCAAGTTACACACAGATGGAATCTTTTTTTGCTCTCATTTGGGGATTGAGTGCACGTAACAATTCCAGTTAAGTATCTGGTAAGTGATATTTTTCCTAATGTGTCTCTCGAAGTGGAAATGTTTTAGGCAATTGGTTTTTTTGGGGTTTTTTTTGTCTTTTTTTTCCCTAATCTCTAATTGTCCTGTGTATCAATAATGAAATATTGATGCTCATATCTAATGTTAAGGAACCAGCAGTTTGATATTACATTGACGTGCAACAGAAAGCACTGATAGGCTCAGCACTGCATACGAGATGAGGTAGAGAATTAATGCATTGGCAGTTGTCTTTGCTGGAACTGGTTAGAAGCCAACTAAAATCTGCCTAAAAGGGTTCGACAACATTAAATTGCCCAACTTGGCACCAAAGCCTTCCCAGAAGATGTGTAGTATCAATGACATGCCTAATATTTATAGTGCCATCAGTATGTGTGTTTGCAACTTTTAAGTTTTGCGCTATATTTTTTTCTCATTTCTATAATAAAAATTTGTAATGAAGTTTGCTTGCACATCTAAATTTTTGCTACTTGAAGTGAACATAAAGGAAAGTCCAGCAACAACCCCAGAGCAGCAATTCACAGGCTGCAGTGATCAGACCAAAGATCATTTTTCTGAACAGATTGAAAAATGTCCTCTTTTTTGCAAAATCTGTTGTGCTGGAGGGCTGTGTGTCTTACTCCCTAATCTGCATTCCCTTGGGGTTAAAATATATCTGTAAATGAAAAAAAAAAATCATATGGATCTTATTCTGGTCTCTGATACTGTAAAGCCAGAATGATGATGATGGGGATGGTTTTGTAAGCACTGTGAGAGGCACGTATGGAAAAGGAGTCCAATATATTTCATGTCTGCTGCTCAAAGCACGTTTTTCTCTGAAGAAAACCAGTTCTCCGAGAGTTTGGAAAACCAAAGAGGGAGAGCAGGAGGCTGTGCTTGAAGGAAATAAGTCCAGAGTTCTATAGTGGAATGTGCTTGATTTTGTTATGTTGCCAGAACTTAAACAAGCTGCATTGCTCCGTGTTTCGGAGCTGTTCTGCTCTTTATTGACAATTACAATAAAAAATAAAGCTGATATTTAAATCCTTCCTGATTAGTGCAAACAGAAATGTTTGGGGAAAAATCTGAATTAGTTCCACTTCGTAACAGAGTAAATAGAGGATTTCAGCCTTCATTTAAAACAAAAGGTACATCTCATACCCAGAATCCAGTCTGTCTCAAAAAATTATTTCCTTGGAAGTCTAAATTGGGATGCCAATGAAGTTTCAGAACAAAACGGGTATTTTTATACTTTGTTCATTTCATATTTATCACTAGCTTGTTTGCTAATTTTCATTTGCAAGAGGCAATTCTTCCAGCTAACTGGCTGCCTCAATGGGCCACTGATTTCTTTGAAGTGACAGTCTGTAAATATGCATAAAAAAGAGATGCAATTAGCGTGTGTGTGGTTCAGTGCAGCCTGATTTCATTGGCAAGTTTACCCACAGTGTTGATAAGCTACATTATCTAGAAAATTGGCCGCTGAAAAACAGCACCTCTGATTGCCAGCAAAGGTTCCAGATAACAGGGTGCTGAAGAGAAATATAATTGAGGTTGAATATGTTAACCAAGGTGTCACATGCTCCTTAGAAGCGCTAATTTATCAGCATGTTGGAATTTTTATTAACATTTGGAATGCATTTCTACCACACTAATGAAGTGGAATTGGCAGTTCAGGTTTTAGTTATTGTCATTTCTGAGAAGTTAAATGTAATTTCTCGTTAGACACAGTTATGTAAATATATTTGTTCAGGGGCTGAAAAAATTATACATTTCGCAAAATACAAATATGTTGTTAAGGAGGAGTATGACAAATCAGTCGCAGTTAAAGTCATAAAAGCCAGCCAAATGTTCACCCTGCATTGTGCTTCCTGCAGCATCACTCATTTTTAGGGCACCTGAAAAAAAATGAACTTAGCAGAGTTTTAATATATGATGGAGTCGCTCATTGATGTAAAAGAGGCAAAACAGGTAAATCAGTGTGATTTGTTGGGGTGTTGGTTTAAGGGAGATCGCACCAGTTGTGCTGTGCTTATCTCTGCCTCTCCTTTTTTGTGTGGAGAGGGTCTGGTGCCCAGAAGGGTGCTGGCTTTTGTTTCCCTCATTTTTTGACATATGGGAAGTTGGTCTGTTTTCAGTTTCTGGGCTGTACACAAACGCTGTGTGACGTTACGCTGCCAAGTGAGAAGAGAGACTGGTAGAGGGACAACAGTTCGCAGGAACCGCGACAGACCCGACTCAAGACACTTTCGGTTCCAATGTCATGCTCATTTTCTAGAAAAAAATAACAAACTGGTGACCTAAAAGTAAGGGGCTTCTGCTGTTAGCTAAGCAGATAGTAGGTGTGTACTTACTTTAAAGGGAACCTCTATGCTGCAATGACAGGAAAAGAAGCGCTGTGGAAGTTTGCATCACGACTTTCAGCAGAGGCAGAGCAGGTCCCATGTGCTCCTCTCATCTCCTTTGTGTAATTCCACCGTTTTCCTTCTGAATTACTGTCTTAAACACCTATAAGTGCTGCCTTTTCTTATTCCTAAACTCTTCATGTGTGTGCTCGTTGCAGGGGCATCGTGGACACTCCGCTCATCCGCTCCAAGGAGCTGCGGCCGCTGGTGCAGCGCTGGATGGGCGACATTCCCGCCGGGAGGCTGGCTCGGACCACCGACCTGCAGGCTGCTGTCGTCTACCTGGCCTCTGAAGCCTCTGACTACATGACAGGCCACAATCTGGTCATCGAGGGCGGACAGAGCCTGTGGTGAGGGGCATCCTCCAGCCTCCCCTCTCGGAGAGACACACAGGTCACTATGGAGAGTGCGTATTAGAGTTTAGCTTAGTCCCGGCTTTGGCTTGTGTGACTAAGTAGCCAGCTAATATGAAATTATTGTTTTCTTCTTTTGGGTGTTAATTTGGAGACTTGTATAATGCAGAGGAAAAAAAAAAAAGGCAATCTTTCAGTTCCAACATTTTCATGTTTTTCACTATGCAGTCACATTTCTGTTAAATTAGTATTTAATGATATAAAGGCACATTTACTGCAGTGAGATTTGGCTATTATTTAGTTTAACAGGGGGCATTTTTAAAGCAATCAATATTAGCTGTTCTGTGTAGTTTATTGTTCTTAGGCAATTTTTTTAGTATTCAAGTTGTTCCAGTGACATCTGTGCGTGGTGAAAAACAGTTGGATGTAGTGTTAAAAAAAATAAATTAGTTCATTACATTTGAACCTGAACATTGCCATTTTATATTTACTGGTGTTCTTTAATTTTTGACAGTGTTTTTATACAAACACCCACATAAATGCCCCTGAAAAAGCAGTACTGCACTTAATAGAGAATCACGGTCAGTAATTATAATGGCTGTAATCCAAAGCCCATCGAGGTAAGTGGGGACTGCTCATATACTTCAAGTTAAACGCATGTTTAAGTGTTAATACAACTGGATCTATGTTTTCCTTGATAGGCAGATGTAAGCAAAGGTTGTCTTCCGTATAATTTTTTCCCCTCCTGTAAAATTCTGAAGACAACTCTTGGGTGTAAATCAAGGCCAGCTCAAATTATATTGATACAGTTGTGTTGGCCGAAGACCTCACTCGGGTGATAGTGCTAGGTTCATTGCTTATAGGCAATAAAATGTGGCAAAAACAACCCCACCATTTTGATATCGCTCTGGATATACACAGACTTCCATCCTGAGGGCCCTTAAGCATAACCTAAGGAGAATTTACGGGAAGAAATTCACTTGCAAATCCTCGTGTCATTTGTTTTGCATTTGGCAGCTCTTTGTTACCATAACATAAATAATTGTGGATGGATGTCATTACTTTGATTAAGTGCTACAAGCCCATGCATTGGCTGGCCATTATTGTGGTGAATTGCTATAATGGCTTCAGACTTGACATTCACTGCCACGTTGTAAGGTATGCGCCTCGCTGACGTACTATCATCGTTATCGTGGATAAAGTGCAAGAAGATACTTGTCTTCATTAAATTTTCTATTAGACCATTGATAATTAATACATATCTCATGTTTCATCTCGAGTCGTTTTTTCTGGGGAGTGTTGCTGTTAAGCGACTCAGGGCTAGAGCTTTTTGGCTTGAAATCCTTGCCTTGTGTGCATGATCTAATTTATTGACAGTGCTCTGCAAACTCACAGGCTTAAAGAGAGCTCAATTTTGGATAAATCTTCAAGAAAAACAATTAAGGATTTAAACATTTTATTATTTTTCTGGGCTCACAAAACCTTTTCTCTCCTAGCTCCCACACTTGCATCATTTTGTGTCATGCTCTGGAGGGCTCAGTGGAGTTCTCACATCCCTCTGGCTGGCTTTTCACCCAGAGGTTAATGTGCAAACATTGGTGAACTCATCAGGAGCTCTTCCAAGGGATCCTAGAGGGGCTTGTATACTCTTGCTTGGACTGCTGGTGAACAGTTTGTTGCAACTCCTACCTAAAGTGTAAAATAATGAACTTTAGTTAATTTGAAACACAAACTGCAGTTGGCACTGGAACTGTGACCAGAGTTTTCACTTTCTCAGTAGAAAGACAAAGGGCTGAACAGACTGCTGGGGCTGAACAGACTACTGAGGCTGAACTTCCATTCCCTGCCTGGAGATGGTTGCAGTTCAGCACCAAAAGGCACTGGCAGGGCACTGCACGAAGCTCAAGGGCATTGCTCTTCTGCCGACTGGTTTTGAGAAGAAGCCTTTCAGCCAGCAAGGCTTGGGCTGTGACTTTCACAAGCTTCAAGTTAAAAACAAAACCCAGACAGAAAAAAAACCACCTAGACTTAAAAAACCCAACCCCATATATCAAAGTAATCTCCCAAGTAAGCAGCCTCTGGTATTTGGACTAGAGCTTGTCTCACCCCATTCTGTTTGGCCCCAGGCTCTGCCTTTGAAGGGCTGAGTGGGCAGAGCAGAGGAGTGAATTTACCTGCACAGGCTGATGTGTGGCTTGTACCCTGTTTGAAGACATTGCCATGTGCCCATGTGGGCCCTGGCTCTGCCCCATGCTGGCCCAGAGAGGCTGATGGAAGGGGCCATCTCTTACTTCATTACACAGGAGGGGCTCAGGACTAAGCAGCCCAAGGGAATAGAGCACTCTGTGCCAAGTCCCTGAGATGATGGGCTAATACCCCCCCAGCTCTTTTGGCATTCATGGCACCCTCACTTTGGCGAAAGAAACAGACCCTGCAGGAGAGCAGGTATCAGGAGGTAAGTGTCTCTCCCCCTGCATATATGAGCTGGCCTGTCTCCTCCTAAGGAGGAGACCCACTTTCATCTCTCTCCTCCACACTCCTGTTGAATCATAAAAGCGTCTGGGCTGGAAGGGACCTTAAAGATAATCTAGTTCTAACCCCCCTGTCATGGGCAGGGATGCCTTCCCCTACACCAGGTTACTCAAAGCCCCATCCATCCTGGCCTTGAAGCCAGGGCTTCATCCGTCTGGGAGCTCCAGCAATGGCACTGTGGCTCTTCATGGTCTCCAATGTAATTTCCTAAGGGAAATGACTGATTTCCACTCAAGGGCAGGGCTGTGCCCGTGCAGTGGTGCTTCTGTCTGATAAGGACCAAACTTGGCATTTGGGTTGGGATCTTTGAGGTGGCTGTTCCCTGGGTGTGGGAGTCCCTGCCTTGTGCTCGTTGCTACAGCCGTGGAGTCTCTTCTGGAGACATCGCCCTAAAGCAGGTGGAAGACACAATTTCCATTTATTTATAAAAGGGAAAAGCAAAGCTCACAGATTTATATATATCACTGTGTGTAAGTATCTGAAGGGAGGGTGTCAGAGGATGGACCAGGCTCTTCTTGATAGTGCCAAGCAACAGGACAAGAGGCAATGGGCAGTAACTGATGCACAAGAAGTGCCACCTGAACATGGGGAAGAACTTCTGTACTTTGCAGTGACTGAGCACTGGAACAGAGACCAGAGAGGGTGTGGAGTCTCTCACTGGGGATATTCCAGAACCATCCTGTGCCATGTGCTCTGGGATGACCCTGCTTGAGCGAGGAGCTTAGACCAGAAGACAGAGTGCGGACCCTTCCAACCAGAACCACTCTGTGATTCTGTGAAGTAGGAGGTGAGAAGAGCCTTTTATCCTTTTAGCACTGAAGACCTGAGAAAAGAAAAGGAAACATTCGGGAAAAATAAAAAAAAGGAATTTTTGGCGGGGAAAGGGGGGGGGGGGAAAAAAAAAAAAAAAAAAAAAAAAAAGGAAATATCTGGGTGGAAAAAAATCATCTTTCTGGGGAATGAGGGTGAAGCTGCGAAATGGCAGCATCTGTGATGAGCGAGGTCGTTCAGGGCAGCATCATGCTCTCTGTCCCGGTTGGTGCGGGGGGATGCGGTGCCGGGCGGGCGGAGGCGCCGTTCCCGGTGGTACCTCTAGGAGGAAACCTCAACCTGTGTTGTGTCTGCGGGAGACGGGCTTCCCGGCTCTGCTATTCAACTTTCATATTGCAGCGAAGTTAGTACTTTTGATATTTCTAAGGTTTTTTTTCTTTCTTTTTTTTTTTTTTTTTTAAACATTTATGTAGAACACCACATAATTGCAGAAAAGATAATAGTCACATACCCTAGGGCTTGGTGTACACTTATGTTAAAAGTACAGCTTTTATTGGCAACTAAAGTAATAACCTTTCCATGTCAAATTGCTTTAAATTAAACTTAAAAAAAAAAATGCTGGCTGATACCCACATTTAGTAATTGTCAAACATTAGCATAATGTGGAATACTAAAGCTGCTTAAATCTTGGGTTTAAAAATAATTATTTACTTAGGTAAATTCTCTATTCAAAAGCATAATATTAGATTTTTTTTTTTTTTTTTTGACACAGTCTCCTCAATATATATGTTAAAATGCAGACCTGAGCTTGACATGGAAGTAGGGCTGAATGTTACTGTGGACTCTGAGAGAAAAAGGGGGACTTTACACCTTTAGCTCATTCTTCAATCATTAATCACCGTCAAATAAATGTTTTAGGGTGACATCTCTGAAGGCAGAGGTGCTTTGGGTGACGTCGTGTGACCTAAGGGCAGTGACCTGCCGTACCTGCTGGTTGTACCCTGTCCTGCAGCCCTGGAGCGCACACATAATGTTTCTTGTGCTGGAAGACATCTGGGAGACGGGTGCCTCAGGTATGTGGGTGTGCAAGGCTGAGGGCAGCTGGTCAGTGAAGTGTTTCATACAGGTACATTTCACATTTCTGTTTCAGCACAGAACTGGAGCACATGTGGTGGGAACCATTTAAATTTCCAGCACGAAGCAGGAGAGGAAATAATGCACTGTGAGATGTGGCTGCACGTGAAGGAAACTGGACCTACCAGGTGCTGTGAGGACACCAGTCCTCGTGGTTTTCTGCTTTCAGAGAGGCCCAGGCTCTGATATGTCCAGCTTGAGGACTCCCTCCCCTTCCTAGGCCTCCCTGTGAAGTCCACCACAGCACTGAGCCTACCAGTTCTTCCTCTGAAACACACCGATATTTTATTGGAAGTTCAGCAAAACCTATTTTGGCACATTTTCTTCAAAAAATCAGCAGTGCCCTTTTTAGGGCAAAAGGTATTCTGTCAAATTCCTGCAAGTTAGAAAGGGATTTGCTTTCCCCCTCCTTTAAGGGAGCAAGATGCTCTGGGAGGCTCTTGTTGCATTTCCAGCAACTTTCTGAAGGAAAAAAATGGAGTGGTAGTACCTGGTAACAAGAAAGTTATGAACTTCAAGAGACAGAGTTTAACAGTTGTTGGGAGGGGAAACACGAGGAGCTGA